AGGCATTTATTGAATGAAATCATTTTCTTTCATCAGTAATCACTTATTGAACATCTCCTGGAAGTAGGATTTTGTGTTAGGCATTATGGGACACAAGGTCCAAGGTGTGGTTATCGAAAAGGAACTTGACATCTTTAGTGTGACGAAGACTATGACATAAAAGTCAAAGGTAAAATACAGGATGGAGGAAAACAGAGACCCAAAAGTCTGGGGAGGTGGATCCAGGCCTTGACCGGGGCCAGGAGGTTCGAGCTAGATACACATGAGCAAAGGAAGAGGCAAAGACTTTCAAAGGGAGAGGAGGCAGCAATGCCCTGTGTTATATTTTGAGTTCTTTAATGTGAGCACAGCAACATAACAAAAGCAATTGTAAAGCAGGCATGGAAAAGTGATGTTCCATGTCTTTGAACTTTATTAGGCCATGGTAGCCCATATGCTAATGATCACTTAAAATAATCACTGGACTAACAAAAGTACCCAGTTCCCTCATCTTTCTCACTACTCAAGTATTTGCCATTCTTACCCTGTGACCGCAAGAAAGACATTTCTAAAGAGCTTAAACTACTTTAGAGTTAGATTTTATTAAATGAATTCACCCAAGCTTTTGATGAAAAAGGTGGCAAATGAAAAATCTGTGAACAGGATGCTGTCACCAAGGCAACCAAAGTTATCTGTCTTAAGGATTGTTCTGGTCCAAGGACATTGGCAGAACTTTCCTTTAACTTAGTAGTTAACATTTCTTTTAGTTCATAGTTTAACATTTCTTTTACTTCATCAAAACTGTTGGGTGCCCAACATGCCTTTAGAACAATGTCTTATTAATTTCTGTGTCCTCCATAACTAATCTCAGTGCTTGGTAAATAAAGGAGAATAAATGTTTACAGAGTTATGAATGAATAAATGAATGGATAAGATGAGGAACATTAATTTACTTATTTATTTTTCAAAAATATGGAAAGTTTTAGATCAACTATCAGGATAAATATATAAGCAAGTGCTAATCTGTCTTAAGAGATTGAATTAGAAGAAATAAAAGTCAATTAATATCTTTTGTATTATGGCTACTACAGCCTTTGAGTTGATTATCCTTCCTTTTTACTTTATTGTAACATTTGAAAACAGGTTTTCTTTTCTTTTCTTTTTCTTTTTTTTTTTGTACTGGGGATTGAACTCAGGACCTCAGGATTGTCAAGCAGGAGCTGTGCTGCTGAGCTATATCCCCAGCCCTAGAAAATAGATTTCCTTATCTCATTGCGCTGTTGAACAAGTGAGGCCTAAAAAATAAAGCTGCAGATTTCAGTAGTAGTGAATCCTTTAAGTATTTTCATGAGAAACTGAATCAGGAGTTAAGGAAAAGAAACTGAGACTTGATTGTTTTTGAGTGGGGAAGTCTGTAGTCAGCCTTCTGTCACTGTGAGAAAATACCTGAGATAATAAACTTAGAAGAAGGAAATGTTTATTTTGGCTCATAGTTTCAAGGGTTCCCGTCTGTGATTATTTGGTACTGTTTATTTTGAGTTCATAGTAAGGTAGCACATTATTCATCTCATAGTGTCCAGGAAGTGAAAGAGAGTGAGAGAGGAAGTGGCCGGGACCTCTTATCCCCCTTCAAAGGCATGACTTAACTTTTTCTCGGGCCCCTTCACTTCTTAAGTTTCACCACTTTCCCACTGCTCCAAGCTGAGGAGTGAGCCATTAGCATATGGAATTTTGGGGGACATTTCAGAATAGATACAATTCTATGCATTCCAAAGTCCCTAATTTGGTGGATGTCTTCCTAGAGATTTTGTTAAGCATTGCTAAATTCAGCATCACGCTAAATAAAGTTAAATTTGAATCCAAGACCACTTTACACCTAATCTTGTTTCATTTATCTTGAAGACAATGTAAACTCCCCAAAGGAACAAAGTTATCAAAAAGTCAAAGACCAATTTTTCAGAAGGAAACAAAAACTTCTTCATATTCCAGCAGTCTTCAGTTAAATGTAATTCTTTGTAATTCACAACTCCAAGAGCCTGCAACTCTTAGGGTTATTTCAAAAATCTAGATCATATAAAATTGGAGAGACATAAATAAGATTGAGTCTTATAAATTGATTGGGTGGCTTTTTGTTGTTGTTTAAATCCTTTTGTAGGACTTCCATTTTGTCTAGTTACAGGGAAGTTAGAAATTTTCTACTTGTGGTCTAATTTGACTCAATTCAAAGATCTTTCTGATTTAAATTCTTCTGTCCTGATATATTTGGCATCCTTAACCCACTGGCTTATGTCACAATCATCATTATTCTATTCATGTAGTTATTGGCCAATTGTTTTGTGATATAAAAATCTGTCTTCTGCTAAAATTGAAATGGAAACACATCTCCACATGGGCTATGGCAGGATTAATAATGGCACGTCACTTAATGTTCAACAATAGTGATAGCCACTCTGAGAAAAACTTAATGGCCAGCATTTCCTTGTGGAGCCCAGAAGCTACAGCAGCCTTTTTCTGATTCCCCTCCTGAACTTTTAGGACATTTTCTTTTACTGATAGAGGTTATTCCATCACTTGACAAGACAATCAAGTAATGTAAGATGGTAATTGGCAGACGCCAAGGCTCAGGCTGTTCTATCCTTAGCAGTTTCAATAAATTCTTCCTCACAATGTAAAGGGAGGGGAGTGTTATTTGACTTTGAAGTTTCTTTAACTCATTTCAAAATGGACTGACTTGCCTACTGGTGATGCTGTACATTCAAAATAACTAAATATAGAAGAGGGAATAGTTTTAAATACTGTTTTCATAACTTCTTTTCAAAAATCAGAAACACAAACATTTCACCATTAAATTCTTTTTAATTCCACGGTGTTGAATGGACAGGTCCTTTTTTTTTTTTTTCTATCCAGTTTAGCTCGGCCAATTACAGCTAATGTTAAGCTAAGTATTTCTTATGAAATGATATGTTTTCTTTTAATGAAAGAGTAGGGGGAGAGGGGGAGAGAGGGAGAGGGAGAAAGAGAAAGAAAGACAATAAAATCCAAGTTCTGAAATTTATTAGCAAGGTAACCTTGCGTAGCTTATTTCATCTCCTCAAATCCTTGGCTCATTCAGTAGCAAGTGGAAAACAGAGCAATGTGCACTTACCTCCTTTGGATGTTGAAATAGACCATATTTTTAGCACAATGCCTGGCACTTATCAAGTTCAGAACATTACAGGTTTTTGGTGCTGGCCTATGGGGAGAACATTTGGCATGAGAGTGTTTCAGCAGATTTAGTTAAGTAAAACTCTCATCAGTGCAACTTAAGACAATGTTAAACTTTTTATACCCATATCTCAAAAAGAACTTTTGGTGAGTAGTACAGAAGTGATTAATTAGAAAATCTGAGTAAAGTATCTCCATTAAATAGATTATAAGCCTTCCACAGTTGAAGCTTCCCACACGTACTTCCTAAGCCCTTTTGGCTCCCTTCCTTGGGAATTAGGATGTGTTCATTACCCTTCATTTCGTTTCTCGGTGTCCCTCTCTTATCTCCATTGATACTTTGCTATTACACGCACACCAGAATAGGATATAGTTGTCTTTTTCCTCTTCTCTTTTCATCACTCCCTTTAAAGTGATGATTAAATATTCCTACCAAAGGTGACTCGGAGGAGGGAGACACAGGAGCTCTCTTCAGCTTAGAACTTGACCTGATGTGATGGCCTCCTTCTAGAATGCCAAGTGGAGATGAGTGTTGGAGACTAAAGTGGGCAGAGTGACTTCCCGGCCCCTCTGATTTTTTTTTTCAGTTTTTCAAGGATTAAAACATCATTTGGCTTAATTATAGAGTCAGACACACCACCACTTATTTTCAAGTGAAGATATCTACTTGACAGCAAGGATGGGCCCTACAACTGCTTGATAGCAGAGATATTTGACAAATAGCAACACGATGCAGAGATTACCAAAAGTCATTCCTCAACAGATTCTCTAAGTGTCAATCTGTGTCTGTATTTATTTTAGTGTCAAGTTTCTTCAAAGAGCAGATACTACGCAAAAATGGCCTGGTTTTGTCCTGGCCAAGCGTTGTGGGCCATGTTGGGACCATTGGACAGCAGCCAGGCAAACCCAGCCCCAGCCGTGGTCCCAGATTTCTGTATCTCTGAGTCACTTGCACAGGGGTCAGAGATGACCTGCTGTTCTTTTCAAAACATTTTAGGACCACTTTTGTCTCCCCAGGATCTCTCTGAGTCAATATGAGTGATCCTATATTTCTGGAGCAGGTACACTGCGATGGGCCGAGAACTAGATTAAGGTGAACTGGGATCAGACTGGTGTTTGTGGAAGGGCAGAGACTAAAGTGGGATCTTAGAACAGAAAAACAGTTTGGAGGCCTGTGTCCAGCATGTTCCTCTGTGAGGTCCCTTCTATGGCTTTTGAGACAAATGGACCTCCAGGGTTTTCTTCAACACACCTGGTGTCAAGGTTGGGTAGCTAGCTGATCCTTCCCTGACCCTGCCTACCTCATAATCAGAGTAACAGATTAAGGAAAAAGGGTGGACAATTGGGTTTCAGCCTTGCCATTTTTAGTCCCACGACCTTGAGTAAATCACTTCACCTCTTTGCATGTTTCCCTCTGGATAGGACCCCATCTACCACAAAAACCTGTTATAAGGGTCAACTACAGTGGCAAATGGATAATAAACTTTAAAAATCATGATGTTGTCTTCAAATGTCAGACATTGGCATTAGTAATTTGTCAATGAATAATTGCTAAATGAAGGAATGATCCAATCTTTCCATGCCATCTCTCTTTATGCTTGAATGGGGACAAAAGGCTGGAAAACTTATTATTGAAAACTGACCTTGGTGTCTTCATGGAAATATGTGCACATACACCCTATAGGTGCAAATCCAGGCAAATGATCTACCTTGAACATTTGGCAGAAGAACCATTAACTCAGCATTGATGTAAAAATCACGAAGTTTCAGAATCGCAGTGTTAGAGTTATCAACTACTCTTCCTCTATTTCTTCCAGGAATTTCTATTACATCACAATGTTGCGGGATCCAGTGTCACGGTACCTGAGCGAGTGGAAACACGTCCAGCGAGGGGCCACATGGAAAACCTCTCTCCATATGTGTGATGGAAGAAGTCCCACCCCTGATGAGCTGCCCACCTGCTACCCTGGGGATGACTGGTCTGGGGTCAGCTTGCGGGAATTTATGGACTGCAGCTACAACCTAGCAAACAACCGCCAGGTGCGCATGCTGGCTGACCTCAGCCTAGTGGGCTGCTACAACTTGACTTTCATGAATGAGAGCGAGAGAAACACCATCCTGTTGCAGAGCGCAAAGAACAACCTAAAGAACATGGCCTTCTTTGGGCTCACGGAATTCCAGAGGAAGACACAGTTTCTCTTTGAAAGGACATTCAACCTCAAGTTCATCTCCCCTTTCACGCAGTTCAACATCACGCGGGCTTCCAATGTGGAAATTAATGAGGGCGCCCGCCAGCATATTGAGGAGCTGAACTTCCTGGATGTGCAGCTTTACGAGTATGCAAAAGATCTCTTCCAGCAGCGCTACCACCACACCAAGCAGCTGGAGCACCAGAGGGACCGCCAGAAGCGGCGGGAGGAGCGGAGGCTGCAGCGGGAGCACAGGGCCCACCGGTGGCCAAAAGGGAATGGTGCCTCAGAGGGGGCCGTCACCGAGGACTACAACAGCCAGGTGGTGAGGTGGTGACCCCCTGGCCGCTCCTTTTTCTGGAGGGGGAGATGAGAAGGGGCACTGACCTTCTGTTGCATTACCCTGGAGAACTTGGGCCGTTCTGAGGACCTCTGGCTGGATGTGGCTTCATGGGGGCATCTACTTCCTCTGTCTTCATTTTTATCCCCTTGGAGATGATCTACCTTGTTCTTTTTTTTTTTTTTTTTTTTCTTTAC